CACAAGGCCGAAAAGTGGGGGGTTGAGGCTGGTCATCACTTGCTATTCTATACCAAGCTAATCTGATTCATGACCCATTCATTCATTACAATTGACACATTAACCACAAAAACTCATCCATTGTCAATCAATCGTCCATATACCATAATACCGCATACTCTCAGCGGGAGGGGGCTACAAAATGCGCCTCATGACATAAAAATTTCACGATTATAAAATACTATATATAAAAATTTGTACATGATATAAAATGAGAGGGGAGAGGATGAACCCTCAAAAAAAGAAAACAATATCACATATTCACAGGGGAGCTACAAAATACCCCATGATATAAAAATCTCATGACAGTTCTTGCTGTCTTTTTCCCACAAAAATATATAAAAACCTTCATGATTCATGAAATGAGGCGAGAAGAAATGAACCCAAAAAAAAAAAAAAAAGATTGTAACAAAACAAATGTTAGTAGAACCCGTCCACCCCTCAAAATAATAAGAGTGGCAAAGAAGAAGAAGAAGAAGAAGAAAAAAATAAAAAAATTGTTATTAAAGACCACAAAAAAAAAATGTGTCTCCTTATTGATATGGCAGTCCCTACTGACTGCAATGTATCTTTGAAGATATTCAAAAAGCTGTCAAAATACAAGGACCTTGAAATAGAAATCTCAAAAATGTGGTATATGGGAACATCAACAATCCCTGTTGGAGTTGGAGCCCTAGGACTGGTTGGAAAAGATTCCAGTAGACTAATTGAAGGGATTCCTGGAAGTCCATGCCTCAAGGGGATACAAAAAATTGTTCTGACAAGTACAGCCCACACTTTACGAAGGGCTTTTTCTATGTAATTTCTTTTTTTCTTTTTCTTTTTTTTTACAGTGGAAAGTGTCATGATGCCATTTCTAACCTTAGGTCCCTAGGCGGGACCGGGAAAGAAATGTGTAAACGCCAGAAATCAAAGAAAATAATAAAAATAATAATAATAATAATAATAATAATAAAAATTCTTCTTCTTCTTCTTTTTAATATACAACACGTTTATAATCAGCTGTGATTTGATTAAATGGTAAATATCTCCATTACCGCTGTGGGGGGGCAGTTCGACGCGGTGTAAATGGTTAGCAAGCTTGTCTTGCTAGATTAATTACAACTGAGTAGCGAGTTCGATCCTCACTGGGTGCTCCCCCATTTCGGCCTTGTGCCACGTCTAAGCTACGCACAGGAAAGGGTATCTCGATATGGTGTAATGTTTAGCAAGCTTGTCTCGCTAGATCATTTATGACTGAATAGCGAGTTCAGTCCTCACTGGGTGCTCCCCGATTTCGGCCTTGTGCCATGTGTAAGCTACGCATAGAAAAGGGCACCTCGATGCGGTGTAAATGGTTAGCAAGCTTGTCTCGCTAGATCAATTACGACTGAATAGTGAGTTCGATCCTCTCTCTCGGCCCTCCATAGTTGCGACCTTGTGCTATGTGCAAAGCCACGCTGAGTAAATCAACATTAACGATGTCGGTGAGCCTTAAGCAACTAAATCAAAACATGAAATGCTGCTGCAATACATTTTATTCAAGTTTTATATTTGCCTTTGTATTTGTTTTCATTGAAATATCTTTCTCTATTTATTAAACCCAAGCACAAAAACATTTAACCCTGCGTTAGTCACGTGTTGTGTTTTTTTTTTTTTTTAACCCGATTTTTAATTTCTAGTTGGCACCTTGTTTCTTTGGCTATCTCCAACTACTCTCCTGGCTTAACGATGGCGTATAGCACGTGATGTGACGCAGTTGTCATGGGAGGCAGATGTCACTTTGTCTCATTCGGGGTGTCATGTCACCCAACAAGAGTAAATTATATTAGGTCACATTGATTTTTTTCTGTCTATTTCAATTCATGAAAATATATTGTGGGTGACTATTTTTGATGAATAAAACTTCTTTAAGATTGCAATGGTTTTGTTTCCCCTACAATTTACAACAAATGTTTATGCAGCAAATTTATTATAATTTTCATTTCAATGAATAATTATATCTTCAGGTCAAATTTTGATTTAATATCTATTGTAACGGAGATTTGCCTATTACAGTTAGCAGTATGTCAATATTTGATATAATTGTAACATTAAGCATTTTGGAAATGGGATGTATAAATATCCCAGGGGACTAACCATTTTTGAAAATCTGAGGTGACAAATGCAGGGTTTTAAACAAACAATTGATCAACTTGAGTACCAATTCTGACGCGAACTCAAACAATGCAAGTACCGGTGAAAATCCTAAGGTGCACATGAAAAGAAAAACAAATTACTGTTACAGTGTAACCCGGATATAAGAGACCCAGATATAAGAGAAACCCGGATATAAGAGAGATTTTCTCTGGTCCCAAATTAGAGCCCATACTTACCTAAACAAAATAGACCAAACCCGGATATAAGAGAAACCCGGATATAAGAGAGATTTTCTCTGGTCCCAAATTAGAGCCCATACTTACCTAAACAAAATAGACCAAACCCGGATATAAGAGAAACCCGGATATAAGAGACTTCTCCGGTCCCGACAACTCTCTTACATCCGGGTTTCACTGTATTATAATAATAAAATCGTTTTTTGACCACAAGATTTCTATCGTAATATTATTTGCAATATCTTCCTATTCCCAAATCGTTTTTAAATGCATTTACGACGAGATGCTGGAATGTTCTAGGCCCGACTAAAAAGGGGTTGCAAAATAAATGTTTAATTAAATAGTGCGAAATAGGTTGGGCGGAGAACTTTTAGCATGCCCTCTTAACATAGTAACGTCAAACTTGATTTAAATCCTGACCAATGACAACCGCTTTCTTCCTGACTTTTAAGGTTTAATATACAAATTGTGAGTGTCAATATATATCCCTTAATGATAGGACGCTAGGAAATTAACCCCAAGGTTTAATTTATTCTGTGCTTTATATAAATGATGCTAGACAAGGCACTGTCGAGTGATGGTAGTCTTGGAAAGAATTGCAGGTGTATTTTCTGACCAACTAGATACTCCAGGGTTGTGGATGTTTCTATGTCAGGCTAAGCTGCCTTTTTCTTTTTTAAATTATGGCACCCGTTACAGTCAGGGCCAGATTTAGAGGAAGAGAGGCCCTTGACTATTCCCCTTGTGAAGCCCCCTCCAAATGCCCCATTCTCACGATTAAAGGAAAATGGAAGAGTGTTAACTTAAACAATTTGAGTAAAGTCGAGGATGACGACGACTGTTTACAATTACTGAAGAGTTGTTTAGAGTTTACAATATTTTATGACAGCATGTGTAAGAAAGGCCTACGACAGTATCAAGAATCTTATACACCTTGGTCAGACGACCCATAGATTTTGAGGCCCTAGACTTTAGCCTGCCAAGACTATAGGTAAATCCGGCATTGGTTACAGATTGATAATTATGAAATTACTCTTACAGTTTAATTTTAGAATAGCAATTTCGATCTTCGACTCCGCGTCGAACTCCTTCTAGGTCTAATAATTAGCCTTTAAGGACTAGTATTTACTGAACCGGGCTTAAGAAAAAACATTTCGCAATTAGTTGAGAAAATTAATAAATTCTACATTGACCCACAGACGATTGCCATGGGAGGGTATCCATAGCCGAAACAAATTTCACGTTCCAAATATTGAATTACCTCCCCTTATTCATTTCGCTTGATATTCTGATGACATTTTTGAAAGCGTCGTCAAAAGTCTTGCCATTTCCACAGGAAACTGCTCACAATTGATTTAACGGTGTTTTTTTTATGACCATGTTTCATTGCCACCTTAGACAAAAATAAACATTTTAAACGTTAGCTTTCGTTTATTTCTGACGTAACATTTCAAAATAAAATGTGGGAAGATTTTTTTTTTTTTTTTTACAAGTTTCAAGATTTATTTATAACAAATCATGAATTATATATTTCACTTCGTTCTCATTTGAATATGAGACGAGGTAAAAAGGTAGTTCAATATTTGTAATACGAAATTCCAGACGTTAGAAAGGATTTATTACCGACGCACAAAAAAATTAAAATTTGGATCGAAGATATTTTATACCAGGTTAGAAATTAGCAAACCTATGAAAGAAAGGATAAATTCTATCGCAGTTTTCAGCCGTCATCTTACGGAAGGAATTTCTGCTCAAGTCCTGTAAGAAGCGGGTTTCCTCCCCACTCCCTCAATGTACCGACAAAGGGGCGGGGAGTTAAGGTCACTTTTAAACAAGGAAGTTCCGTAGTTCTTGCTTCTTTTCCTTAAATTTTAATCGGTCAGCACGTAGCTGTTATAAAATAAATAAATAAAAAAAAAAAAAAAAAAAAAAAACTTCGAATTTTATTTTGAGAATTTAAAAGGAGAATTGTGGTAATCAAATTACAATCCGAAGGTCGTTTCAAGAATTTTATAGTTCGTTTTCTTAGAGCAACCTTAAAGAAAGGGTATATTAGTAGAAAAGAACGTAGTTAAGATTAATTATTCTATGTTCTTCCCTACACGAAGACCATATTGTCGCATTAAATATGGTTAGAGAGACCAAATAGCTCGGAGGGATTATTTTTTATTTTTATGCTGCTTAGAGACTTCAGTGATTGTTTATGTTCTGCTTCTAAAACGATTATTGAAAAAAATGTAATAATTCCATTTTCTATAAACAGGCCACGATTAAAGAAATGAAATCGTAATTTAGATTCTGAATTAAGAGACTTCCGAGTAAAATGTATTAACAGAAAAAAAAAAAAAAAAAAAAAAAAAGTTGAGTTTCATGAATAGGGTAAAAGGCTTTTTTTTTTTCAAGGGATTGGCCCCATAGAATATTAATTACAGAATTATACAACTTCACAAATAAGATAAGTCTCTTCGTATAGTTATATAACAACGTTCTACTCAACATTACTTGTATTCGTTAGTCAAAAAAGTGACCCCAGAAGACGCTGTTATGGACAGGTAACACTAATTATATATCACGAGATGAAAAGTTTGAAAGCCCTTCAGGTGTGACCAGAATTTTCATTAGGATCTGTTTCGCGGTTTTTCTTGCTGCGACGAACTTTGAGAGAATGGCGTTTAGAAAAACTCGTTCTATCATCAAGGACGGCCTGCGGTAACGTAGGCGAGAGATAGTGGGTTCGAGATATAACCGGGGTGGTGTGTAATAAGTTCGCTAACACGCCGTAAGAAGCTGGGGACAAACAGAGTGGTTGAATATTCTTAAAAACCGCCTCACCGGTCAGATTTCCCACAGTAGCTAAGTCGCTATCAGATTCTGTCCTTTGCTCAACCTTCTGTAACCACAAGGCTCCGTTATTCGTAGCCACGGCAACTGTCGGTGAATTAGGGTGTCCTGCCGTTGAGGCCGGTCCGACCTTTGAGTAAGCCGTACACACACCAAGACTGGGAGATAAGGTGCCCAAGCTAGGAGCGCCCAGAGTTAGGCTATTTCGAAACTGGTTTTGCGATGTAGTTATGATTACCTTAAAGCTTTGTTCGTTCTGACGAAGATCTTCAAGCAGGTTGACGAGATCTGGTCGCACATCGTCTAGGACCTCTGTACAAGAGTCCTCCAAGAGATGGGCGAAAATCTTAAACAGGTTTTGCTGCAGGAAGAAGTATTCTGTCTGTTCGACCCTATTCCCAGGGAAGTGAAACATCGGCAGACGTTCAACAGTTGCCACACAGCCGACGTCAATTATTCCCAACCATTGTTCCACATGACCTTTGCAAGCGAATTTTGAACCCGGGGGAAGCGCTTTCTCGAGAAGGTTAGTCAGCTGCGGCCTGTCAATGGCAAACGAGTCGGACTTTAGCAGGCTGGAAAAGATGAAATCACGGGTACAGTATTGACAATGGTTGAAGCGATGAAAACGACTGCGGGATTTTTGGATTGCCTCCATTTTGTCAAGTAGCGGAATTCGAAAGGCGAGTATATAATTGTTGTCGGTCGGAGGCGGTGGCAGAGCTACGATTGGAGGCGGGGTGACGCACCATCCGGAAGGGCTTCCGCAATAAAACCCAGCAGGAATAACAGAATCCATTGAGAAAAATGAGAGCAGTTTGGAAGATTTCAGTAGAAAATCACGTGGGTGGGTCTATTTGGGCGTATTTATTTATAGATGTCTTTGTTCTCGCTTTTTTTTTTCTTTCGTCGTATGCTCATTGGCCGCTTGTTTTCTACCCCCCACTTTCTTTAGTTTAATTCCTCCTCCCCTTCTAGGTGACTAGTCCTGCATTAATTTCGTCCAGTTAACTGATATTTTTTGTAACAATTAAAGTTTTTGGTTTTTTTTAATTACTAACATTATTTCGTAAAGTTTCTTGTATATAGTTTTGTACTCATTGTAAATATTCATTGGGGATTTTAGATTTTTAAATTGTTATTTTATTCTCCTTCCCACGCAGGCAATGTATTGTATATATTGATTTTCCAAGCGTAGCTCAGATGTGGCACAAGGCCGAAAGTATGGGACACCCAGTGAGGATCAAACTCACTACTCAGTCGTAATTGTTCGGGCAAGACAAGCTTGCTAACCATTACACCACCTCGAGGTGCCCAAATGATTTTCTAAGCGCTGCTTAGATGTGGCACAAGGCCGGAAGTATGGAGCACCCAGTGAGGATCGAACTCACTACTCAGTCATAATATGTTCTAGCAAGACAAGCTTGCTAACCATTATACCACGCCGAGGTGCCCGCAATGTATTGTATATATGGGGACTAGTTAGGACTTCATAGAGTTTCTGAGGCATTATGGTGGATGAAGTAAGAATGGTAAGGAAGAATGAGTTGTTTTGGTGAAAGGAATATTGTTTGTATGTTTGGGTCAGTGTTTGCGGCTAGCTAAGTTTAATGTTAAGACAGAAGATGGCCATCCTTTTCCTCATTCCCCCTTTTCGGCCTTTTGTCATATTATACTTTATTTAGTTTCTTGTAAATATATATATACATTACATTATTTAAACGGAACGCTGATCTTATATAAAAAATTTCAGTTATCTGTTTGGATTAGTTGTGCTCTTATGTCCATCGTCTTTTCATGTTGAATTTTATATGTTCTAATGTTAATTATGTTTAATGAAAATGTCCTGAAGATGGTCTAAAATAGACCGAAACGTCCGACGTTGACTTTATATTAACATTAATACAGCATAATTGCATATTAAGATTTTTGTTTGTTTTTTCTGTATATTTTTCTTCATACATTACATTGTAAATACACGTTGTGGTTAGATTTTTAAATTATTGTTTTTATTACCCTCCCCCACAGACAAAAAAAGTATACATATAGGGGACTTATTTTGAGGCATCATGGTAGATGGTGTAAGAATCGTAAGTAAGAATGGGTTGTTTTGATATAAGGAATACTGTGGTATGTTTAGGTCAGTAATCGTGGCGAGCTACGTTTAAGATGATTGATGGCCAGGCTTTTCCTATCACCCCCCTTTGGCCTTGTGCCACATTTTTGTATCTTTATAAAATAAATACCTCATCTGAGATGTGGCATTATGCGTATTTACATTATTCGGACTGTTATCCTTATCTTGATTACCATATTCACAACGTTTCGGCCGTTGTACGCTCCGGCCTTCCGAATGGCCTGATGTCTCAATTATTTCTCTTTGACTCAACTCTCCGGGTTTTCTGGTATTGAACTCACAACTCTTTGGGTCTAGTCACTGGATCTAACCAACGTCTTTATCCACTGAGCCATCATCTGTGTCTGAATTTCTGGGACTTATAATTCATTTTTACCAGTGTTCATATTGCAATTTTTCCGTTATTATTATTGTATATTTTTTAAAAGAGCTTATATTACAATTTTTGTGTTGTTATTGCTTTTCTCTAGCACTCTTTATTACTGGTTCAACATATTGTATTCATTTCTATGCTTGGTCTTGGTTGACACTTCACAGATGTCTCTCCCGAGTAAGACCCCCACTCCGATAAAGAAGAACATGACTAAAGATTGTACGCCATCCCGTGCAGCTGCGGAAAGAAATATAAAGGGGAAACAGACCGCCCCCTTTAAGGTAAGGCTTCAAGAACAACAAGAAGCTGTAACACAAGGGGAAGTGGAAAAATCAGGCATGGCTGACCACATATGGAGAGAAAAGGGAAATCATCACACTCTGTGGGATCAGGTTGAAATCATAGACAAAGAACATCATTGGGTAATTCATAAACTTAAGGAATCAGCACATATGCTAGGCCACAAAAATTTCCTGAGCCGACCAAGCATAGAAATGAATACAATATGGTAACTAGTAATAAGGAGTGCCAGAGAAAAGCGATAATAACAACAAAAGTTGCATTATGAGCTCTGGTAAAAACATAAAATGATAACAGCAAAAAAATTGCAATAGGAGCACTGGTAAAAATGATTACTGAAGACATTAGGTTTATAATACCCAGAAATTCATACTCAGATGTCCTCAATAACACATGACAGTGGATAAAGGCATTGGTTAGATCCAGTGACAGATCCCAAAGAGTGTGAGTTCAATACCCGGTTAAGGCAGTGGAGAACTTTCAGAGGGAAATTAACAGGAGAAAACTGATAACTGTCATCCATTAAACATGGAATTAGAACAGTCTACCCCAGTGAGCGAAATAAAGGGTTCAGTTTGACATTCCAACTTCCTGAAGAAGGCCGGAGCGTACAACGACCGAAACGTTGTGATAAATATGGCAATAAAGATGAGGACGATAGTCCGAATAATGTAAATAGTGTAGATAAAAAGAGTAAGATAAATTGTTGTTTTATCTTCATGTAAACTAGGTTCCTCTCGGTGTCTGAATCGCAAAACACATCATTTACCGAAATAATATCGTATTTGTACCGAATACAAAACCTGGGCGTTTTGCACCGACCCATCGCAACTGTATTGAGTTCCATCCACACTAAGTGAGCTGTGTGGCACCTTGCATTATTAGAAATATTCATAGAAATATGATTTAATTTTTTCTTACTCGGTTTACTAAACAGGTTGTTGATTTTTTTTTAAAACGGAAAATAATTGAGTTGAAAATAATTCACTAAGATTGTACTTGGACGATCCTAAGGGAAGAAGAAGGAAGGGGAAAGAGAGAGGTCGAGAAATACAAAAAAAGCGGTCATTAACAAAAACACGAGTCAGAAAGATATCTTAGCTAGCATGTTGACCGAATTTTTTAAAGACAATTGGAAGAATAGAATTAGAAATAATAAAAAAAAGAAAGAAAGGAAAAGACATGATATCAAAACGGGCCGCTTGATGAAAACCAGATATCGGTCAAAGCATCTAGCCTACTTTTGCGTAGAAAGACACCTTATCAATTTGGATAAAGGGAAATTTTGGGAACAATGAAAACGAAATCTTAATCAGAGAAAAAGTGCTTTTGGGTTGAGGGGAGTGACCGGTGGAACGGTATACAGATTCTGACCTGTTAAAAATTAGAACCCCCCACATTGACGAGTGAAAGATGTTTTCAATTCAGATAAATTAAGATTTTCTGACTGCCGGGTCTGACAAAAACAAGAGGTGGAAAAAACGATTGTCTCAGATCACAGATGGCGACAATATTCTTTCCTGAAGTCACAACTAATTAGCGGCGGGCTGGTTGACAGAGCCCAGGTGAGAGAAAGCCAAGATTGTCATTTTTCGTACGTGCAGAAAAGGCAAAATTGGATTTTGTTTTTTAAAACAAGAACGATGTAACCACGCCCGAAAGGAGGAGAAAGGATGCTCGATCAATAACAATTGGTCGGAAACGGTCACGTGATCTGCAGAAAAGAAGAGAAAAAATGCCCGATCAGGAACCATTGGTCGAAAAACGGTCACCTGACATACGAGAGACTAAGAGAGATGGGTGTGCACCTCCCCAAAAAGGCACTGTGAGGAAGTAGGGGTGAAAACAATAGCGATAATGAGAAATCAAAATAATGCGACTTTTGGAATTATCGAGAAAACCCCTGACGCCGACAGACCCACCCCAGTTTGTTGCGGCGTCAATAAAAAGCAGGACCCCAGTCGACAGAAATCAGTTGGAGTGGAGTTGCAGCTGGACCGCGGGCAGGGATAGAGCCTGAACGCGGGCATCGGGCCCCGGTCACTCGCCCCTTTGCGGGCAAAAGAATCCTCAGACAAGAAATCCTCCCAGCCCAAGTCGAAGACAGAAGAGTTCAGCCCCGGACGGCAGCGAGAAGAGATCACCTCGGACGACAGAGAGTTGCGGCTGAGTTGCGGCAAGAGATCCTTCCAGCCCAAGTCGAAGACAAGAGAACTTCCAGCCTAAGTCGACGAAGAAGAAGAAATACAACCCAAGTCGAAGACAAGAGAACTTCCAGCCAAAGTCGAAGACAAGAGAACTTCCAGCCTAAGTCGACGAAGAAGAAGAAATACAACTCAAGTCGAAGAGAAGAATCAACTGCGAATGATCGATAGAAATTAGCCCCAGTGTCGAACCAAACCACACTCCGACATACACAATTCTAAAAAGTGTAGGCAATTCGAAATCTTTAGGTTGTGTGATAGAAGCTTGTGCCATAGTCCACAGAGCGGGTTGGGAAATGAGAACAATTTTGTTTTTATGTAGCGGACATTAAGATATAAAAGGTTGTTACCCATTTTTTTCATCAGCAATCTTTTTGTCTCGTGAGTTTATTTTCTCTTTTATTTGTGTTTTGGCCACCCCCGTCGGACTCAACTTGTATCGGCCCCAATCCCTGCTGGTCCCGTCTGTCTAAGATCTAAACACAGCGTGGGTAGACAGACCGGAGGTCAGTACAGTTGCTTCAGTAACCAGGTATTGGAAGCGAGTCGGGAAAGGCGAGGCTGGTGATCATCTGACCAATGGGTTGGAGCGGCACGCTTGGAGGAGCGACCAGGAGGAGCGACGTCACCGTTGGCGCCGTAACCAAAGGATCCGACCCTGGGCCAGGTGTGTAACCGTCACAGCTGTATATGTAATCGTCTTCTTTTTCTTCTTCTCTGTTCCGTGTTCCTCTAGGGCGTAGACGATTATGGTTCTCCACAACCTTCTATTCCATGTAGCTCAT